TCTTGTCCAATACTCGTCTAATTTGTCTTGATCGGCTTCACTCAAATTCCATGTATTGTAGAGGTCAAGACCATAATCTCCTACCCATAGGAGAACATGTCGACATTTCTGCTTAACAGTTCGATCTTTCAAAGGGCCATCAAACAGTAATTCACACTTCTGCTGAAATCGCTTGAGCCGTTGTGGCAGATCTGGTCCGGGTGTCCAATCGATTCTTGGCGGTTCAAAGCCAGCTAGATCACTCATTTCGTTAACAAGTAACCAAGTACTTATTGTGTTGGGTTTTTAGACCTTCTAGTCATCAATCCCACTCCTGACACCATGTAAACTTGCACGTTTTATTTGAAACTAGCTTTTTTGAAAATATGTTACAATATGGCGGCTATGGTGAGTACGCGTGTTTATATAACAGTAGGAGACTGGATCTAGTATTACGTAGAGGAAGTTAATATAACCGGAAATGTGACAGGTTCCTTCCGCATTTCCCCGTTATTAGACTTGATAAAGATACGACGAAGGTCCGTGTGGTGTTCGATGCTGCGATGAAACACGAAGGCAAAAGTTTGAATGATGCAATACGACCAGGTCCCAAGCTGCAAAGAGAAGTTGTGGATGTTCTCACACGTTTCCGCAGAGCGCCAGTAGCCCTTACTGCCGATATTTCCGAAATGTTTTTACAAGTTGGTCTCCGGGAACAAGACCGTCCATATCATAGGTTCCTGTGGCGAGATTTTGATACATCGAAAGAGCATGAGTTTTCGCGATTGTTGTTTGGCAACGCGGCGTCACCATTCTGCTCACAGTACGTTCTCCATACCCATGCACAAGCCCACAAAACAGAATATCCGGAGGCAGCCGAATCCGTTGACAATTCCATGTATGTTGACGATTTATTAGATTCTAGCGAAACCGTGGAGAGTGCACAACATTTGCAACGTCAATTGTCGGACATGTTAGCCATAGCTGGATTCAACTTGCGAAAGTGGTCATCAAATGAGGCAGCAGTAATAGAAAACATTCCCGTTGGCGATCGTCTACCTGCAATCGAGATCAACAACGGAGAGCTTGCTAAAACCAAGACCTTAGGAGTTACGTGGGAAGCAGCGAGAGACGTTTTCCTATTCCAACCAAGCAATCTGATATGAGTGTCAATCCTACCAAACGAAACGTTCTAAGTGCAATAGTCGCCCTATATGACCCACTTCAGTTCCTGGCACCATTCGTGATCCGCGCCAAGATTATCATGCAAGAAATATGGACAGCAGGATTAGATTGGGACGGTGTCTTACCTAGTAATCTTAGCACGGAATGGGAAAACTGGGTATCTGAACTCCAGAGCTTATCGTGCGTTGCCATCCCACGATGTTTACGCCTACCAAACCAAAGACGGTTGACCTACACCTCTTTTCCGACGCATCTAAAGATGCTTATGCCTCCGTTGCCTATTTAGTTTGCCAGTACGCCAACAACCTCTCTACTTCGCGTCTCATTGCGTCAAAGAGCCGTGTGTCACCTTTGAAAGTGGTGACAATTCCCCGCCTAGAGCTAATGGGAGCTGTTCTTTCAAGCCGTCTAGCCGCAAGTATCCTATAAAACGTGTTAACCGTGGACAGAGTGATCTATTGGACAGACTCAGAAAATGTGTATTACTGGGTACGTAACCAGAGTTGCGAATTTAAACCGTTCGTAGCTAATCGAATTTGGGAAATTCAGCGTACAACAAGTCCAGAACAGAGGCGGCACGTACCGGGGACGGAGAATCCAGCAGATTTACCAACCAGAGGTTTACCGGTTGCTGACCTTAGTGAGAACAAATGTTGGATGGAAGGACCATCATTCCTAAAAGACGGTGAAAGTACCTGGCCAACCATACCTCCTAGTAAAGACGTACAGAAATCTGACCAGTGTGAAAGGCGATCAACCACGAAGACATATGCAACTAAGAACCATGAATTCACTAGCATTGATCCTACACACTTCTCAAGCCTCAAACGTCTATATCGTGTGACGGGTTGGATTAAGCGGTTCATCGCCAATTGTAAGATTCGTGGGAAATCTGGACGAAACTATGAAAGAACACTTTCTTCTGCTGAGATCTCAGATGCTGAGACGTTTTGGATCAAACACACGCAAACAGAATCTTTTCCTAAAGGCATAAATGAAAAATCCCTAGTCCAATTAAACCCGACAAAAGATGATAATGACCTACTTCGTATTAATGGACGCTTACATCTCGCTGAAGACATCCCATACGACACAAAGTATCCTATCCTCCTGCCAAAGAATCACCACCTGACACGCCTTGTAGTTCTTGATGCACATGAGACACTTGGCCATGGGTGTGGTATAGAACATACTTTAACACAATTGCGAGTGCGATTTTGGATTATGAAAGGACGGCGTGTAGTACGGAACATCATCAAGTCTTGTCCAGAATGCCGACGAAGTTTTTCTATGCAGACAGCCGGTCAAATGATGGCCCCTTTACCTATAATCGATTATGCAGGTCCTTTTTTAACAAAACAAGGACGTGGTAAGATCAGAGCGAAACGCTACTTGTGCCTGTTCACCTGCTTAGCAACGAGGGCAGTCTATCTGGAAATGTCGTATTCATTAGATACGGACTCGTTTATCAACGCGTTTACCCGTATGTCCTCAAGGAGGGGGACGCCTACCTATGTTCTCACAGACGATGGCACGAACTTTGTTGGTGCAGAACGTGAAATGCGAGAACTGATTGAAGCCCTCGACCACGACAGGATCATTCAAGGTACCAGCAAGCATCATCCCATCGACTGGAAGTTTAATCCTCCATCTGCTCCTCATTTTGGCAGAGTCTTTGAGGCGATGATTAAAAGTGCGAAGAAAGCAATCAAAGCCATATTGGGAGATGCAGATATCACAGACGAGGAACTACACACAGCCATATGCGGAGCTGAACGACTGTTGAATTCCAGACCAATCACATACGTTGGCTCAGATCCATGACTGAATATGGTAGGAAACATGATTGAGGACACATCTTTCAAGAACCTTGCTTATGATTGATAGCAATGAAATAGGGCGGTAATTTTCCACATGATCTTTTTGTCCTTTCTTGTGTAGAGGAACAATGTTGGCTAACTTCCACTCGGCTGGAACCTGCGATAGGCGGAGCGACTTAGTAAATAGGTGATGAAGTGATGGAGCTACTTGGAAGGCACATTCTTTTAGAATGCGCGAAGGAAATCCGTCAGGACCATGAGCCTTTGACGGATCTAAGTTCTGCAAGGCTTGGTAAACTTCTTCTACCGACAGGTCAATTGATGAAATGCTTGATAATGGAGAAGATGAATCTGGTTGAAACGAAGGTGATAGATCCTGAAAGCAAGTGTAGACAGATTGAAAGTACTCATTAAACATTGTCGCAATGTCACTAGGTGTATTAGCTTGTAATCTACTCCCAGGATTGTTATTATCGGATCTTGAGACAGAGTTCGGTATGCTTCCAGAATTTGAATTAAATTTGAATACGGACCAAAACGGTTGGGATTCACCTTTAAAAAGCTGCCCAAGAATGCGAAAAACGACTCTCTGCTTTCTTGTATAACTTTTTTGACCTCGCTTCGTAATCTGCTAAACTTTTCTTTGAGATAGTCAGTTCCTTTATGTAGAAATTTCTTACGGGCAGTAGCTTTTTTACGAATCTGGTGCAAGATGGTTGGTGTTATCCAAGGTGGTGAGCGACGCGGATCTACATACTTAGTGGGAATACAATTATGAACAGCAGTCAACACAGTGTTCTTCCAAATTGACCAATCATCATCGATACTCGTTTCCGTTACATTGTTTCTCATGAGAGAACATATGTCCATGTCCGTTAGGCGTTTTCTTAGATCGTCAAATTTGGCTCGTCCATAATCGTAGACCAAACGTCGGTTTGTCATGATGTGATTGGATGCCGTAGAAAACGTAAATCGAATTATTTTATGATCGGAGGACATTCCTAATTCTGATGGATCGCAGATTTTTATGATCGATAATTGTTCTGGTTGGTTTGTTATCACTAGATCTAGAATATTTGATTCTCTCGTAGGTAGAAGACAAAGTTGTGACATGAAGAAATCATCCAAAATATCACAGAAATTCTGTCCCAACGTTCCAATTGAAGAGCAGTTAGAATAATTTCAAGTGATACTTGGGAAATTGGAATCCCCTGCGATAAGGATCTTGTCACAACTTGGAAATAAAGTGTCGGTAAGAGATCTGAGATCGACTGTTTCGTTACTGTCAGGCGGTCTGTAACAGCACACAAGTAGCTATTTGGCGTGGTTTGGTTTGGTATAGTACATTGTACAGCAACTGCCTCTAGATTCTTCGTAGCGATAGACGTGATTTGACTACACGTGATGAAGGTACCATGCTTAATAGCTACCAATACCCCGCCCCCAGCTCGTCCCAAG